AATAACTAAGTACCAATTTATTTCTTCTCTCTCGTAGAGGTGGCTCTTGATGTAGGACATACAGACTTTTGATAGCCGACGTTTCAAAGGTGCCAGTTGCAATTTTAAGAGCCTCATTGTGAATAGAATCTAGATATCGTAGTACAGATTTACGAGCTGACGTATATATAACTGATTAATAATCTATTTTTGAACGAATTATGGTATGGTAAATTTTTAGAATCGAGGAAGTATCTACTCTCCAAGAGGTATTTAATAAAACTTTAAGTAAATTTATTTTGCTACTGCAATTTTTTCTTAAATATTTAATTAAATGTAGAAAATTCAACTTTGACTAAACTTTCACTAAAATGAGACCAAGGAATTTACCATCAATTTGTACGGGTATATGGAAATTAAGATAGGAGTCAGGATCTGGATGAAAATATTGTTTTCTACAAAAATGTACGCATCATGTTTTAGCTTCAGAAAATCTGAAATTGTTAATGTTTGCAAAGTCAAGTATTTTATTGATTGCCTGTTGTAATTGTCTCTCGATAGTTCTCTTGTGTGTGGCCTTATAAGTTAACCAAAAATCATCAACAAATAATTCCCCGTTGACTGTGATAGGTAAAACAGTTAAAAGCTGTTCAATTTTAATTTAAAATAAAGAGACACTTCTAACGCTCCCCTGGAGAGCTTTCTCTTGTTGTTTAAAATCACCGGATAAAATTTTATTCAATCTAACTTTAAATGTTCGATCAGTTAAAAAGTTTGCTATAAAGTAAAACATATTTCTAGTAATATTATACACCAATAAGTCTTTTCAAATTCCAAAATGCCATGCCGGTCATAAGCTTTCTATAAATCAAAAAAGACAGCAACCAGATGTTTTTGGAAAAAATCCTCTTTTATATCTGTTTCTAAGTTTAAAATGTTATCTAGTGTGGAGCAGCATTTCCAAAATCCACTTTGTCTGTCTGATAAAATGTTACGGCTCTCAAGCTCATAAACCAACCCGGCCTTTATTATTTTTTCTTATAATTTACATAAGCAACTTGTGAGTGTTATTAGTCTATATTTAGAAGGACGTTTCAGATTTTTGCCAAGTTTAGGTACGACAATCACATAGGATTTTCACCAATCCAATAAGTATACTCTCTCCCTCCAAATTTTATCACACAGTTTTAGAATAATTAAAAGGTTTTTCAGCATGCTATAGCGGATATTTTTTGTTCCTGGTGAAGTTAGTTTACAATGTTTAATAGCAGATTTTGCCTCAATTAGTGTGATAGTCGTCATATGGCTGTAACGGGCATTTTAATGGTCTTTTTTTTTATTCTAGATTTGAATTGCTGAAAGGATGGAGAAAAGTTTTTTTTCACTGGATACGCTTGAGAAATATTCAGCTACACAGCTGACTGTTTCTTTAATTTCAATGATTTCTTATTGTTTATTTCAAGATGACTAATAGAGGATGTACTGTTGTTGCCGGATATTGATCAAATTTTCTTCCAGATTTCCTTGGATGGGGTTAGTTAGGTTATTTTGCCGATATACTGACTCTAGGAATTTCTTTAGCTTTGTAGTCGAGTTATCCATTTATGATAAACTTGGTCAGAATTAAAATTAAAGGCAAACAAAATAGTATAACATTCATCGGTAAAACTTGAAGATTTCTCAGATACAGTACAACTATCCGAAACAACACCACAACCAGCACGACTGTCGTGTTTCGACCCGTTAGTAAAAATTGGTTTAAAATCAAGTTACTGATGACGATGTTCTTCAAAGTTTTGAATTAAAACGCTTGAGCTCGTGTCAGATTGTTTTTAAATCATTAAAAATGTCTATCACACGAATTGGAAAATCGACTCAAGGTGGGATAGTCTCTGCGATAGTAAAAAATTCTACGTTTGCAATGTTAAGGTCATTTTAAATATCGATGATTTTAATACCAAATAAAGTGATGAAAGATAGGCCTGAGGAGAAATGAGTGATATATAGTAGTTCAATGATACTTGATTGTAACGGATGTTGTGTAACCGATTTAGATTTTAAAGAATAATCCAAACAAGGCTCAAAGCAGTGAAATTGAAGAGATAGTTCAGAACAGACTCTCAGCTGGCGATGTTTTAAATGCAACAGATGATATTCTTAGACCTTGATGATGGATTGTGTCGAGATATTTTAAAACAGTTGAACGAGTTGATGACTCTACAGGAATGCCATAGTCAAGTTTAGAACTCATAACTGTGCGATATATTTTTAACACTGAGCTCATATCAGCCCCCCTACGAACAGTTTATGAAGACCTTGAGAATGTTTAATGACTGTGAGCATTTTTTCCTTAAGTAACTTACGTGGGGTTTGAATGTCAGTTTCGAAAAAAAATATTATGTCCAATAATTTTGCTTCGTCTATAACAGCAATAGAATTTTTATTTAGCATGATTTCGGGATGTGGATGAAGGTGAAACCATTTTCATATGCCTATCTAAAAATTTATTTACAGCAAGTTGAATTTGTTGTTCAATAATTGCTATGCTTGCAGATCAGCGTGAAATTCGGAAGTCGTCAGCAAATAATTTACCATGTATTCTTACAGGAAGCTGAAATAAAATGACATTTATTTTCGATATGATAACCGTCACACTTTCCTAAGGAACACCCTGTTCTTGAGGGAAAACAACAGATGAAAGCGGAATAAAAACCTAAAATTTCTCTTAGATAAAAAGCTTTTGATAAAATAAAACATATTGCCGCCAATACAACTGTTGTTAAGGTTTTTAAGTATCCCATACCTCAATGTTCTGTCGTAGGCCTAGTGGTTGTCTTTGAAATATCTGTCAATATCGTTTTTGTGATTTTTGCTCGTTTTGACAATCTTGATTCCACCATTGTTTGGGCTGTTATGGCAATTTTGTGGGTGACAATTTAGAACTATGTTTTGCTGCTTCAACTATCTTGTGGAAGTGGCCCGATTAAATCATCTAAGTCAGATTCGTTATCCCCAGGAAAAAGGTAAATACAGCAATTATTAAGAGAAACTGAAGAGATAATTGACTTGCAAGTTAGTTATAAGCGAGATTGTAATAGATAAATACATATATTATAGAAGTCATAATCATGATCATTACTTCACCACAAGCATTATTATTATTGATATTATCTTTTCTAGTTATATTTTTGTTATGGAGTTTAGTTTTTTGAGTTGATTTTAACGAGGTAGTTTGGAGTCAAATGCAACAAGGAGAAAATTGATTTATGTTAACAATGATGCCAGGTTTTGTAGTATTATAGCTTCTGCAATTTCAGAATATTATTTTAGCCATTTATTATCTTTTAATTTTTAATTTATTTTTTGGGTAAAGATTTGGTGAAGCCTCCAACCCATCGTCAGTTTGCATTTGTTGGTAAAGCGATTTGTCTGAATTATTTTCATCCGTGCTCATTGCATCAGATTGTGAATGATCTTTATTTTTTTAATTTCTTAAACTTGTCTTTATGCAACTTATTTTATATACTTTTTGGTATATATTTATGTTTGCTGATTAAGGGAGATTTTGTTAGTTTTTGTTGTGTCTTGTTTATTCATTGTAGTGTCAGTTTCACATATTTTTAGTTTTCTGAAGTACTTTGTATAGGTTAACGAGATGCGGATTTATTAGGATTTTGAGTTTGTTGAGACTGTTAGGATATTGTTTACTGTTTGTCTGGGAAATAATGCTTTTAGCTTAGTATTCTATGTTTCCAATTCTCTAATATCATATTGACAGCCTGCTAATTTAGTATGTTTGGTATTTGAGATTGGATTCATTACTACTGCATCATGCGAACATTTGGTCTTAGTTGTGAGTTCAGGTTCAGCTTCAAAGTAGGATAGATACTGTCTTTTATGTTTAAGATTTGTTTTCCTTATTTCCATTTTCTGCATCTACTGGAATTAGCAAAATGAACTTCATTACAATTGGCACATTTTTCAGGGGATGAGCAGGATTTGAAAGAATACCCAGCTTGGCCCCAGTGGGAGCAGGTTTCTTTCCTTCTGCAATTGTTGATTGAGGGAGAAAACTTCTGGCATTTAAAACATCGTAAAGGATTTGAAATATACGGAGGGACTTCACAACTTCGGTATCCAGCTTTAGTATCAATATGCAGAACATTAGTGTTGAAAGTTAAAATTATATGTTGCATAGTAAAATTATCCGAACCTTTCTTGATTGTTATGAGGCCGCGCATCTATAACACCTTGAACAGAGACACCTTCTATTATTTCAGAAATGGGTAGTGGTTGCAGTGCTTATTATGAAATGACGCCTTTAGATACATTTAATGTGTTTTGTGGAGTTACTGTAATTTTAAGGTTCAATTTTAGGAGGGAAGTTGTTTACTGAGTAGAACTTGTTTTGACTATTAAGTCTCCTGATGGTATCTGTTTGACACTTTTTGGATTACCAGTGTGTGTTTCAAGTTACTTTTTTACTAGAAATGTTGGCATAGAAGAGAGTTGACATAGAAGAGAGTTTCTTGTCTATAGAATTGAATAACAGAAATTTTGCTTCAGTTAGATCACAATTTATGCATTTAGCAAGATTGAAACTAGGTAAAGGGTTTAATCCACTTTTGTTTCTGTGTTCGGAACTAAACACCAGTTTATTTTCAGTCATAGAAAAATAAACTAACTTCCACTATCAGCGGTACTACCCACGATGGTATCCAACTTAGGGGATGCAAGTAACAGATAGGTATCCGCTGCTTACCACCGATGCGGACCAATAGCCCAAATGTCACCCCTAAAGTAGCCTTTACCCTTAACGAGATGCCCAGTAAGTAACCCCAGGCTTCACCTTAGCAGACAGATGACATTCGTGACTAGCTGACTGTTGCATAGTCAATATGCACATAAGAAGGTCATAATTATCGTAATGATGTGCTATAACTATTTAAAAATACATGAATCAGATTAATTAACAATACGGAAATCATATTGCTTTCCATAAGTCAACAAAATCGCTTAACTTAGTTTCCCATTTAGTTTGGTACACATTTTATTGTTTCAAAGTCACAATGCGAATTTTCGCCACATTCTGATGGAGGAGGCACTCCCCTCAGAAGTAGAGCATGACAAGAGTCACCGTTCTCTGAAAAACAATTAAGATTATTTACAATTAAAAATTGAAACAAATACAGTAATTTAAACTAGAAACACTAATTGATCTTCATCATTTCATTGGTTAACTTCGCATGCTGTAATAGTTTTAAATATTTCGTACTTAAAGAATTAAATTTTCACAATAATTACATGAAATATTTTATACATTCGCATCATGATAATTTTAATACTCTATCTTGCATAACATATTACATTACTATTCAATTTTTATCCAATCCTTAAAATCTACTCATAGATTTTCAATTGCATGAAAGGCCAAAGATTAAGAGCATTAAAAATAATTTTATTTACATTTAATTGTCTTACATCGTAAACAGTATTTCAAATACCTAATTTTTGTGCAAAGACACTCCGGCAATTTTGACAATCATGAAGGTTAAAACTCCACAATTTTGAGTCTAACGCCATGATGAGGTCACCATTGCGCTAAGACCATTCTTACTTTCTAGCAAGTAAACTCCTGTTTGAGAAAATTGCAACACCATGAAGGAATCGTCATAATTGAATGAAATTTACTACACAGTTTAGTGGTATTGATACAAATAAATGATTAAACTTTCAAAGCAAACAAACAATAGCAAGAGATCGAAATCAGTAATTTGTGTAACCACCACGCTTCGCAATAAGTGCTGCTACACGACGTGGCATGGAGTCAAGCAAACTTTGAATGTCTGTTTGAGGAAGAGAATTCCATACTGTTTGCATGCGTACCCAAAGTTCGTCTGTAGAAGCAACAGGACGAGGATTACGAGTGAGACGCCGACCAACGAAATCCCACACATGCTCAATCGGAGACATATCCGGGGAATACGCCGGTCAGGGAAGAAGTTGTACCTGTCGCAATGCAAGGAAGGATTGAACAGTCCTAGCAATATGAGGGCGGGCATTGCCTGTTGAAATACAACACCTGGCAAGGCTTGAAGGAAAGGAACAGCTTGGGACTGTAGAACTTCACTGATGTACCGGTTGTTGTTCGGATTGTCCACAATTCGTAGCAATTGAGATCGTCCATGATATGCTATAACACCCCAGACCATTACTCCGGGTGTTCGTCCACTGTGGCTTTCGATAATGCACCCCGGAAGGTGGCGTTCACCAACTTAGCGCCTGACACGAATGCGGCCATCATGGTACCACAAATTACAGCGGGATTCGTCAGAAAACACAACACGCTGCCAATCAGCACGCCAGTTCCTATGCTGATTGGCCCATTGTAGCCGCAGGCGGCTATGGTTTAGCGTGATGGTGATCCTGTATAAAGGAGTCCTTGCGCGAAGTCCACGCTGCAGTTGACGTCTACGAATTGATGAAGCACACAATGAAACACCTGTAGCTATTGACCACTGTGCTGCCAGTTGTCTAGAGGGAGCCGTACGGTCTGTCAGCACCATGCGGACCATGTGTCTGTCATCGCGAGCTGACGTGACTTTTCGGGGTTCATTTCCGGATTTCCGAGTTGTCTGACACTCGTCCGTCCACTACTTCCAAACAAGCATCACTGTGCTTCTGTTACGCTGCACACGAGCGGCTACTGCACGATAAGACAATCCAGCTTCACGAAGGCCGATGATTCTCCCTCTTTCAAACTCCGTAAGTTGTTGAAATCTCGCTCTCTTTCGTCGAAGAGGCATAAGTAACGTCTGAGCTAACGTTTACCACTAGCAGATAACCACCGATAACCAGAAACGCCTCGCTACAGCCGTCTATTTATTCGGATCCACCCGCCGTTCAGAGGGCGCTGCTCAGCATACGCGTGCGCTACGGGTCTGAAATTCTAATCATTTGCATATTATACTCTACTTTGCATGTCCTGAAAATTTCAGCTCACTCGCATAAGTCCTTCATGGTGTTGCAATTTTCACAAATATGAGTTTAGATACTCATCGACCTGAAACTAGAACCATTGCAAGCCGTCTCTGGGGAGAAAACCTCGATACTTAACAATTACGGCTCAGTGACTCATTAACCACTGCGGCATCACTGCTGACTTTTAAGCACTACTTATAAACTTTCATAACAGAATTCACTAACAAATTGTTGATCGTATATTCCATCAATGACTCACAATTTACCTGATCCAGAGGCCAATGTTCCAGAATTGATTATAAGACAGCTAAAAATATTTAATTTGTCGACATCAGAAATAAAACAGTTTCAGAATAAAAAAAGTCTTCATTTTACGAAATTTTAAAAAATTTTAATATTTTCCAGTGTTTAATCTTTAGTAAAATTTAAGGTTTTAGTAAAAATTTGAAATGTGCAATAATTTTATCTGAGTTTTAAACATACATTTTTCTTTTTGTTCACTCGACATGAAAAGGTCATTTTAAGTTTGTGAAAACCAATTTTTGTTAGACGAGCGTAATACGCAAGATAATGAAGAATAAGTTCCTTTTTAAGGATAAAAACATTATTAAACCAATTAGAGAAATATGCTTTGGAATTTTATCTATCCCCAAAGCCTATCAAATTAAGTGAAGAATATAGTAGATCAGTATGGTTATTTGTAGTGGCTTTTGCGAGCAGACGTATGATTGAAAAAGTTATTAAGCGTTGGTGACTAAGAATAGACACAGGACCACAAAAGTGTTAAGTAACTTTCCCTTCCCAAAAAACATAATTTTAAAATGGCTGGTATACTACAAAGTATAGTACAGCCACCCTAATAAGACAATTGAGGACCAAACCATAGTAGGAGTTCATTAGTAAAACATGAGTTATGTGGAAACGAGTTTTAGGAAGATGATGATAGACAGAAAAGAGCATTTGCAGCATTCTATAACAACATGAAATCTTTTGTCAAGAAAATATATACGTCACAGGCTATAAAAATTACTACAAAAGAAAGATACCATGCCAAACTCGGGAAATTTGCTTGACAGATAAAACATGGTGTGCTATGCAAAAAATTAAAATCTCTGCACATTCATGTAAAACATACAACAAACAGAATGCAAGTAAAAGCCACGGTTGAACAGAAATTTTCTCATACTCACTTAGCATTTAAATATTATTTATTTATTGTTTAAAAAATTATTGTAACGTCTAGTGCAGAAAGAAGGAATGCGTAACATCACGTGGCTGACTATGAATGAGGAAAGATTATAGCCTACATGAACTGCGGTTTATCCTCTTGCATTGGTACTTATCGCGATGGCTGAGCTCTCTTAACTATCCACCGAATATGGTATCAATGGGTCCAGGACTGTCATACAAGCGTCGTGTTGTATTTCATCGCTCCATCCACTACTGACAAAAACGAAGACATACATCTTATCAGCAGGCATCAGCATCTTCAACGGAGTGTCAATTACCAACCTGGATCTATAAATGGCAGCTTGTCATCGTTACAGGCTAATACTGAATCTGTAAACATAACAGTAATGGCCATATTCTTGCTCGGCGGCATCATGGAGAACGCACGTTGTCAACTTGCATTCAACATTATCATACAGCACGGTATACAGAACGGACAGAGAGTATACTGGATAGGAGCTATTGGATGCATTAGTCAATCATTTCTTTTCATTCCTGTCATTTTGACCGAAATCCGTAACATTCAAAACTTAAGACCTGTGGCTCACTCCTGGCTATTCGGGGACTCTAATGTTATTTTTTAGCAAGATAAAGAAATGTATATATTTCCAACTGCATACTCCTTGTCCTGGGGGATAATTGCTGTTATTTCTATCTGATATTGTTTCTGGTACTAATTTCACTGTATCTATGCAGCATCATTTTCTGTAAATTTAATCGCTTACTCTTTCTACTATACTTTATATGTTCAATAAATACCACTCTGCTGCTTATATTCGTTATTAGGTTAGCAATTTTAGCTGTGAGCTGTGTATATTTTGTGGAATATTGCGACTAAATCAAGTGGTAAAAATCTAAATTCTTTACTGCAGTGCATTAAACAGAAAAGGCTTATTTACAATTAAGTGTTCGTTGTCATACATATATTTTCAATGCGCAATTGGTCTATGGTCATTTATGCTTTTCTATAGCAATTTAATAGTGGTAACAACCACGTTATATTTATTTTAAAATTAACTTGTGTAGTTTTCTGTTGAATTTACCCTCTCCATGCTTCAAATTCATGAATTTTTGATGCTATGTTTTTAGTTCGGCGATATATTCTATCGTAAAGCATAACTGAATCCATTCTTATTTTAACATATTATAATCTAAATATCTGTGTTAGTTTTCAGTTTTGGCGAAAGAGCCAAAACTCTCAATATCACATCATTAATTTGGTATAAATTACAGATTCCTATAGTACATAAACAAGTTCCAACAAATTTAGTGCTAATAAATAAATTTTTATATTTATACTAATCGAATTATCGATTGATTGATTGATTGATTGATGTAAATTTTTGGCGCAAGAGCCATGGTTTGGCTATACCGCGCCCAAACCTAGGTAAAAATTACTGTAGCTTTGTTAAAATCAGAACAATTAGGCTGAAAAGAGCAACTTGTTCAAAATTAAAACTAATTTAAAATGTGTCAACTAGGTTATATCTAGAACTAAATCAAATTGTAAAATCCGATATGTTTGATGTACAGAATTAAATTAGGATGAGGTGTGTCTCCAAGTAAAAATGATAAAGTCGGAAAGTCACAGTTAAAGTACTGTCGTCTTTTAGATTTAAATTTCATACACTGGGTCAGAAAATGTTTTACTGTAAGAGACTCTTTGCAAAAATTGCATTGTGGAGGTGCTTCATTTAAAATTAAATATTTGTGTGTCAAGCGGGTGTGCCCAATCCGTAGTCTGTTGATAAGTACCTGGGTTTTTCTGTTGTAGTTAGTCAGTGGTGCAAATGGTTTAATATCTGATTTGATCTCATGTAATTTGTTGTTTATTTCNCAAGACGAAAAGTCCTTACCAGTTAATCTGGCAACCACGATAAGGATGAGAATTCATAAACATATAATGAATTGCAACAAAAGGAATAAATATATCAACGTAATGAAAAAACTAATCAAAAGTTTAGAAACCAATGTTCTGTAAATGATATCCAGAATTTTATAGTAAATAAAATAATGTTCGCTCACTAGGTCAATAAAATGATAAAGTGAAAGTCAGGAACTCGAAACAGGACCGTCACAAGAGAGAAATTGAAGTATGGTAAGGTTCAGCTCGGGGCCCCGGGTGCGCCGTACCCGTCACACAAGAGTGTGCCCCTGGGGGGATCGAATTATCGAATCCAACGTCCTTAAAGTAAAAGAAAAGTTTATAGTAAGGATTGTCTCTAACGAATAAATATAAAGTAGAGTAATAGCCAAAATAATGCTGTCTTTTAAAATTAAATTTGTGGCACTGAGTTACAAAGTATTTTACTGTTAAAAGCTTATTATAGTTAGGGTAGTCTCGTGCAAGTTCGCCTAGTAGTAGTTCTAGTAGAAGATACTTATGCATGTGTGGTCAATGCGTCAACAATTCACAATGACTTCATATTTCCTCGGCAGAGTAAAACGCGTAAATGGTTCTATTTTAATCGAAGACTGTGCAATTTGTTATTCGTTTTTTTATTCCAATTTTATTATCATTCTGATAGCAATGTTTAGACTGAGTATGTTTCTAATACCGGAATAGGTTAGTGGTCTACTCGTAAGTTTTTGGGTGAATTTAACAAACTCATCTGCGCATTTGTTACCCAGAATATCAGAGTGACCAAGAATCCAAGATAACATAATTATATAACCCAAATGGTGTGGTTTCATTTGTGTGTATAGAATGGGACTTATAATTGTTGTTTAGTGCAACAATACAGCTTTTAGAATCTGTATAGATGTTCAATTTTTCATGTGTTTGAGAAAGTATATATTTCTGATGCACAAGCTTCATATTGTAAAACTGAATACTCTGGGTGTAGTTCCTCAGTGATAATCTCGTCAGGCGTCACCTCTGCAGAAGCAGTATGATCACCTGCCTACGAGGCGACGGTATATGTAAATATAGTTTACAAGATCTATGCTCTCTTTTATTTAATAAAAAGTATTTTTTATTGTGAACATTAGTAGCAGTAGTGCTTCAATTACGTCACACTAGAGCTGCAAAATGGTTTATTGGCAACAGTCTAGGGAGCATACCTGCGAGAGATCCAAAGAAATTCCATCGCAATTTTTATCCTAGAGTATGGATTTCCCGCTTTGGTGGCACGACGAGCTGCGCTCAAAGTTGAGCACTTTACGGTCGAACAGTTTAATGAGGACTGATACCACGCAGCCTCAGTTCCTTTGCAGACAGTTCAAAGAAGTGACCCCTATCCCCCGCTCAGTGACCACTGCCAGTGATACTTGATTTCAATGATATACTGAAACCGCGTCTTACGATCTGTCCACTGTTGGACTTAAACACAAGTAATGAAATAATTTAAGTTTAGTATTTGCTTCAAGAAAACCATATCAAGATTTAACTTACGCAATACTGTTATACACTGACTGCAGCATCCACAAAAACTAGCATTTTCCTTGAGGCGTTGATTTTCACCGCATTTAACATTTTCTGGACATTTCTGTTTATCGCAAAATCCAGGGGGACACACTATTGCGTTGACAGTAGTCAATCCAATCAGCCCCAAAAATAGTATTTTCCACATCATTTTCATCTACCTAAATAAGAAACTTCTAAAACAAAAAAGAACTCTAGATAAATAAAAAAGAGAACTGTAAGTTGCATAAAATATACACTATAAAATATAAAACAAAAAGAAACTTTCTGGGGCAATAATAAAATAAGAGATTGAGATATATTGTTTCAGTCCCCTGGGCTTTATCACGTGGGCAATTTTTACGTAGAATTTACACAATCTTTAAGCGCCTGATGCAAACTTCTCCATACATGATATAGCACTTTCTTCGAAAAACAAATATTGCAGGAAATAAGAATATATTTATTTATCTACATCAAATAAGGGTTTGAGGCAACTTGAATTTCAATCTAACTTATCTCTGCATTGGATTTAGATTTTTCTGATTCTATAAATAGACAAAATTTAAGAATGATTCGAAATGTTTAAAAAAAATCGTATATTTAGGTTTTCTATTTTGTTATTAACGTCGTACTAATAGATTATTGCGACGGTCAAGAATCCCTTCTTAATAATGATTCAAAGACGGTGCTGAAGCATTTGAGAATTTCACTACTACAAACTAGATAAGAAATCAGATGATAATAGTAATAACCCGAACACTGAACCATGCCTCCCAACTGCCTAACCATGCATGGACTTTTCAGACTTTAAAGCCGCCAGGGAAATTACATTAAAATGAATTCTTAACTCAGCTAAGGCGCAATCCAACACCTAGCCTTCAGAACTTGTGTGTGAGTGCTAAAATTGTTTGGCGTAAGAACTAGGATTAGCAGGGGAATTGAACCCCAATCCAAAGAGAGCTAGACAAATACTCAACGCACCCCCTGATTAGGCGGCAAAGATCATTTAAGAAAAAATTTGGCTTTAGGGTGTCGCATTTGCAGAGCTGGTGTGCTTTTCAGTTAAGTAGCGTGAACATCTGGGTTAATTCTCAGAGAATTAAAATAAAAACTGAGCACTTATATCAGACGCATGATCATTTTGATGCCAAAGAAAAAATAGGTCATTTTCTACAATTGTCTACAATGCATATTTAATTACAGAAGCAACCAACATTTAAATACCGTTAAAATTATCGCTAATCCAAAAGTGAAAATGGGTTTTCCAAGAAATTTCAAAATTGTATTTGCATGGATGATTGTTCAAGTATTTAAGTTTAATAAAGTTAAAAAAAAGAGTATTCTGCTCAGCTCTTTTCCTTAAAAATACCGAATAAGTCATGTTTTGCATCACAAAGATTCGTTACATTTCATGACACTCCAAGTGGTGGATCTTACGACAGCTATTACAAATAACTTCATTCGTTTAAATGTGCTGGCTTCAGTATTTTTCTTATATCAATAGCATTTTCATGTTTTTTTAAAATACATTCAAGTTAAAAAATTAAATTAAAATTACTACATCAGAAATTAAAAAAAATGATCACTATGTAGCTAAATATAATTACTTATATTTCTACCAATGCATAGTTTCCCTTCTTACTGTTTTCTCTTTTTTTATACTTTTTTTTAAATGATTAATAGTGATTTTCTTAACTCTTATAATTTAAAAATACTAAAGTAGCATTTGCCTCTTACTTACCGAATTGAAAAGAATAAAAAACAATTCAGTATCAGTGAAATTGTTTGTTGTGGTATTAAGCAAAACTATAAGTTTATATACTAAATTCGATGTAATATAGTTTGTTTTAGCGCAGATGCTTGCAATAAAACAAATATTTTATGAGACACTCTTAGAGAAATAAATGTAGTTATGCAACACGCGCTTTAAAGGATTACAGCATACATATAAAACAAAAAATTCTGATGAGCTATTTATTTATATCATTGTGAAATGACATTGAGACAATTCAAATAAAATTTAAATCGTCATGAATATTAATGTAATAATAAAATCAGTCATGAATATTAATGTAAAGAGTGACTGTACAAATTCTTTTTACCCAACAAAGATCATAGGGGAAAAGAAAAGAAATACAGATTTATTTTTATGCTAAAAGAATATGTTAGACGATTAAAAATATTAAATGATGTTGCATTAAATGTAGAGCTTAATAGTACAAGTTCTGAAATTCTCTACACTACGCCTGACAAAAACGGTATTATGTAATTTGACACAAATCAAATAGTGCTATAAACTGAATTTGGTGCAAAAAACGGAAGACTGTATTTAGGAAAATTGAATAAAGATAGCTTAAAAACTGAAAAAGGGGTACTCAAATAAAAGAAAATATTCTTTCTGCACTGGGGATCATAGAAACCTAGTTATCTAAAAAATGGAAATTATTTTGCGGTGTAATTCATTTCAAATCAAGTGGGTCATTTATTTCAAAACTGTTCTTTTTTGGTATATACTTTGAATTTGTCAGTAGTTATTCGTTATTAGTTAGATGTACAGAGCACAAAATTAAAAACGGACAAACTGTGAGTGAATTCAGATGAATAGTTCATGGAAAATCGGATTTTAAGTCGCATTTTTTAAAATTTGATTTCACAGGAACTACTTGGCCGATTTCACTCAAACTCGTATTTTGCTATTTAAAATTATGTTCTTTAAAATGATGTAAAAATTCATGATATTATCTTAGGATAAACTAATTTTATAATTATGTGTGGCAGTTTTTCAATTCACTTGAAACAGTTCGAGAGATGGAGAAATATTCAAAAAATCAAATTAACAGTAAGAGGTTAAAACTTTAGATCGCTTTCCTGACTAAACTGTTCGGACCATATTTCTCGGATTGCAGCTACCCCCCCCCCCCCCAANNCCCCCCCCCAATATTTTGGGGGGCAAAAATTTCAAATCAGTCGAAAGGTGAGTTTATTCAGAAAAATTACGTTTTTGTGGCTGATTCCGTAACTTAAAATATTATCTGCACCAATTAATTGGAATATTTGTGCTTACCCTCTCTAACCATTAAGATTAAGTCCCAGAAGGTAAAGATCCGTTTCTTAGATCAAAAGTTATTTAGGGTGAACCGTTTATTTTTTTTTTCTATTTATTTGACTTTTAGAAGTATAGAGAAAAGTTATTATTCAAATAATTCCACATGAAGTCTGGTTCTTTCACAGAAGTTACTGGCTCAAAAAACAGTCAATGCTACACTGTTAATTTTTTTCTAAAATTACTGCAAAATAACCAGCAGCTGATTGTCCATCCAATTATTCGTTAAATTTAACGGTTAGGAACATTTCTTTACCTTTACGGTTATGAAACCATTTAAAACTGGTAAGGTTTAAAAACCGTGATTCATACATAGCATGTCTTCAAGACAATAAAAAGGAAATTCAACTAGCCATTAGAGTTAGGTTATGTAAGGTTTTTTGTGTCGGACAATAGACATTGGAGTTAGGATGTGTTGAGTTATATTTTGTTAAATGAATCATGGAAGGTGGTTTAAATGGTTTATCTGCAGATGATACGGTCCATCTAAATTCCAAAGGTTTTGTGTTAAACAGCTATGTGATGCTAGCATCTATGCGTAAATGAGACTTTCGTATTTCAATATTCCAAGAACACCAATTGAAAAGGGATGGGCATTGGAAAATCTTCGTGTTTTAAGGAATAACAGAAATAGTGTGGTGTCACGGCTATGATTCGAACCCCGGTTCAGCCGGTCACTAGATTAACAGATAGGAACGAATTAGCAATCTCGGCTAGTGTATGTACCCAGCTGCAAGAAGTTAAGTGGCTTCATAAGGTTGACGCGATAAAATTATAGTTGTTTAACCATTTTTATGTAAAAAAAGAGTATATAAATGAATTTTCTCACATTTTACAGTTTGAATATCTTTTTTATGGTTATTTAACTGGTTTGGATGAATATGGTAAAACTACAATTAAATAAATTATATAACCATTTTTTTCTGAAAAATTTCGAACAGTGTATATTGCATCGATCGACATTCTCAATTAAAATAAAACTAGTTTGGGAACCAAGCTAAAACAGTATATTTACTAATCTCGGTGCATAATTAACTAATAATGGTAGTAAAGGTGTAAAAACTAAAAATAATTTAAAGGAGGCAAAAATGATCTAAAATTTATAATTATTTCTTACAATTATAGATAGTAAAGTGAAATTTCCCTTTCAATAAAATTGGATATATGCTTATCCTTAGTAAAATGTATCTGCAATATACCCTCTTCTTTTTGCAAAATTTTATTACCATTAGGGGTTAACCATAATTAAAGGCTGTTTACATTTTATCAAAATAATGCTATTTATAACTTTCAAGTGATGGGGATGCATTTATTTTCAGACGTAATAAATTAGATAAGAGAAATGAAAGCGCGCAAAAATAGAAATGTATGTTTCGATGTTCTGAAACTTATCTAAACCTTAAAAATGAATCTTCTGTTGTTGTTGTAGTTCATTTACGTCGCGCTAGAGCTGCACAATGGGCTATTGGCTACGGTCTGGGAAACATCCCAGAGGATGATCCGAAGACATGCCATCACAATTTTGATCCCCTGCAGAGGCGCTGACACTCCCGCTTCGGTATCCCGACGGACTGCACGAGAAGTCGAGCACTTTACGGTGTAATAGCTTAACGAGGACAAATACCGCTCACCCTCGGTCCCTACGCAGACTGATCCAAGTGGTCATCCACCCGCACACTAACCGCATCCAGTGATGCTTGATTTCGGTGATCTGCTTGGGACCGTGTCTTAACAATCAATCCACTGCGGGACATGAATTTTCTGAAAATTCTGAATTTATTATAAGAATTTAATAATAAGTTATGAAAAATAAATTGAGTGTAACAAAATACTATTTTATTTACTAAAGAATTTAACATTTTTCGTAAATTTTTTCCTTTCTAGTGTTAAGGACACGGGCCTGANCAGTTTAACGAGGACCAATACCGCACACCCTCGGTCCCTACGCAGACTAATCCAAGTGGTCACCCACCCGCACACTGACAGCAGCCAGCGATGCTTGACTTCGGTGATCTGCTGGGAACCGTGTCTTAACAATCAGTCCACTGCGGGACTATTATAGCATAGAAACAGTACAATAACATTTGATGAAAAAGATATCCATCGCAAAGAATAGTCAACACGTTACTCGGATCTTATTTCCGTTGATAACAATGTGTAACAAAAAAACCTTTTTTCTTAACTTTTAAATGTAATTTTCTATTTATTTGATTTTTAGAAGTATAGAGAACAGCTATTATTCAAATAATTCCACATGAAGTCTGGTTCTCTCACTGAAGCCAAAAAACAGTCAATGCTACATTGTTAAACTTTTTATTCTAAAATTACGGTAACATAACAGCAGATTGTCCATCCAATTATTCGTTAAATTTAACGGTTAGGAATATTTCTTTACCTTTACGGTTATGAAATCGTTTAAAACTGGTAAAGTTAAAAAAACCTTGATTCATACATGACAGTAAAAAGGAAATTCAACTTGACATTAGAGTTAGGTTATGTAAGGTTTTTTGTGTCAGACAATAGACATTGGAGTTAGGCTGTGTTGAGTTATATTTTATTAAATGCCGGCCAGGTGGCCGAGAGGTTAGCCTGCCTGACTGCGAAGCCATTGGCTGCGGGTTCGAATCCCGCTCTGGGCATGGATGTTTCTCTCTCTCTCTTTGTGCTGTCCTCTGTTGTGTGTGCGTGTGATGTGTGAATGTGGCCCACCCTATAAACGGGTTTGTGGCAGTGTGGCGTGAGCAATGTTGCTCGCCTCCGTGACTTTGGTTCACAGGTGCCCACTGGGTAACGCGAAATGAGCAACAATTCTGGCATCTTCATAGGCAAAGATTCAAATTATGTACCTGCCATTGGAAAAAAAAATATTTTATTAAATAAATCATGTAAGGTGGTTTAAATGGTTCAGCTGCAGATGATACTATCCACCGAAATTCCAAACTTTTTGTGTTAAGCAGCTATGTGATGCTGGCATCACATGGTGTGATGCTGGCATCACTGGCTGTGATGCATAAATGAGACTTTCGTATTTCAATATTCCAGGAACACCAATTGAAAAGGGCTGGGCATTGGAAAATCTTCGTGTGTTTAAGGAATTCTAGAAATAGTGTGATGTCACCGCTATGATTCGAATCCCCGTTCAGCCGGTCACTAGATTAACAGATAAGCCTTCTCGGCTAGTGTATGTACCCAGATGTACGAAACTAAGTGACTTCATAAGGTTAACACGATAAAATTATAGTTGTTTAACCGTTTTTATGGGGAAAAGAGTAACTGAACGAATTTTCCCTCATTTTAAAGTTTGAATATCTTTTGTATGGTTATTTTATTGGTTTGTGTGAATATGGTAAAACTACAATTGAATAAATCATATAACCATTTTCTTCTGAAAAATTTCGAACAGTGTATATCGCACCATCGACATTGTCAATTAAAATAGAACTTGCTTGGAAACCAAACTAAAACGGTATATTAACTAATCTCGGTGCATAATTAAGTATTAATGGTAGTAAAGGTGCAAAAACTAAAATAAATCTAAAGGAGGCAAAAATGATCTAAAATTTATGATTATTTCTTACAATTATAGATAGTAAAGTAAAATTTATCTTTCAATAAAAATGGATATTTGCGTATCCTTAGTAAAATGTGTCTGCAATATAGCCGCTTCTTCTCGCAAAATTTTACTACCATTAAAGTGTTTACTATAATTAAAGGCTGTTTACCTTTTATTAAAATAATGCTATTTATAACTTTCAGGTGATGGGGATGCATTTCTTTTCAGACGTAATAAATTAGGT